TCAGTACAAATCGGCAATTTCATACTTTAACCCCTATTATAATGTTTACGGTTAAAAATAAAAAGATAAGTAACTTCAATCCTTTAAAGATAAATAAAATCAATCAATCTCAAAAAATGATAGCGAAAAATATAAGTAAGGTCTGGTACTGGATACTTATATGATTTTTACATATTATAATACATAAATCTAAATTAACGTCTCTTACAAGACCACTAGAAGCTTAGTCAAATGTCTTCTACATATAATTAAACATTAAATAAAATATTTATTATTTTTATAGTATTATATATAATTAACACAATAAAACTAAAACTTTCGAGTACTTAAATTTTTATAAATAAGTTTTGTCTAATATTATATTTTTGTTTAAGTGCCTTGTAAATAACTACGTAGACTATAAAATAAATAAAATAATAATTAAAACATACTTTGTACTTACTTACTTTCGCCCGTCCTATCTTATCGTATCTTTGCGAGCTGACCATGTACAAGGTTCATGTTTTGAATGATGGTACCAACTTACCTTTAAATAAACAACTACCCACTGTGGGTAAACAACTACACATTGTGGAAAAAAATAGTAGCTAATACCTTACTTGAATCTTTGTAGTTCGTTATTTTTATTTTCATTGTCGTTTTTTTTTCACGTTAAGTGTATGGAAATTCTTAGTGAGAAACACATATTTAAACTTAAAATATGTATTTAGTAGCAGTACAACTTCTTGTGAAAGAGTCCAGATAAGTACTGCCACCTTACCTATTTCTACCGTTCAAGCAGTAATGCTCACATTACTGCGTTCGGGTTTTGAAGAGTAAAGGTGCTGGTCAAACTACATGCACGTGAGACTTTTCAACTTACATCTCAGATTAACGAGCGCAGTGGGTGTGCTCCCCTGATCTTTGTGATTTAAAGCTCTGAGCGGCACTCCAATTGTTATGGACATGCGTGTCGCTTACCACCAGGCGCATGACTTGTTCGTCGCGTAACTTGGTACTATAAAAAAATGCCGAAGCTCACGGGCATGGACTTCATCGCCACCTTAACATAGAGGCTGTAAGCTACTAGGTAATGCAAATTGCGTATACTACAAAGAAGGAAACGTGTCATGTTCGTGTAGTTAAGTTACATTGAATAAATCAATGAGTGAAAGTGCTCATTAGACTATGAACACCGAGCGTCTTTCTTTATCTAATATTAAACGATATTTTGTCGATGAACAATTTTTTTACATAAGTTACTTTATTGTAGGAAATTATCTAAAGTTAAAATTGCTTATTAGTCTTGTAAATAAGGCTATTAGTTACAATCGGTAATACTTTGCTTTATAAGAAATAAAGAATAATAAAATGTAATAATATGTATAGTTATTGTTCTAGTACCACTAATACTGTAACTTGTGGACTGTTCAAATGGTATAGTCTATATAAAACAAATAGTATTAGTGTCCAGAAACGTAAAATAATTTTTCGATTTCTTATTATATTTCAGTTGCATGACAGACTAGCCGCACTACCAAGTCACACATTTGATAAAAAACTAGTAAGCGTATGCTTCCGCCCTGAACTATCAGATGTGACTGAATTCGCCGAGTCTGAATACAGCCTTAATTCAACCACCAGCACTCTTAAGCTCAGATCCTCAGGCTACTGCCATAGAAAAAGGTACATTAACGATAACAGAAATTCTCAGAGTGATAGTGATCTTGCGAGAAACCTAAATATTAATCAAGAAAAATTTATCAAACAGTCTCAAATACTAAAAGGATCACAAAGTGATGCTGAAGATGTCATATACAAAAGAGACAAGCCAAAAGACGATCGTGTTAACAGCTCTTTATTTGTAGCCACAATAGGATCAACGGATGAATCGGTAATTAACGCTACATTGGAAAGAATACCTAAAAACAAAAATGTTAATACTGATAATTTGATTGAATTACTTGTACGGGAAGCTTTGAAAGGTAAAGGTAATGAAACAGAAGTATTTGATAGCGGCATTAATACTGGGGATGGTAATAAACAAGATGGTTTAGGAGAATATAGTGAGGCCATTGATAATACTCTACAAACAAAACAGAAGGAACTCACGATTGTTAGCAAGTCTACATCAGACGAATCTAATACTGAAGCTATCAATGATACTCCCATGACATATGTCAACGTTCGTAAAAGAAATTTGCGTAAAAAATCTATAGTTATTGATGAAGAAGTTGTCGTAAAAAGTCCCACTTACGACGTTCAAACAGTAGAAGAATTTTTCTCACAACATTTTACTGAGAATAAGACTGGAGATTTAATTATAAGCCCAACATTGGCAAAGAAAATCAACGTGACTAGTTCAGAAACAAGCGAAGATTTCGATCAATGTCTTCTATCAAATGACAAAGTGAATATTGAAAAATTGCAGGATATGGATATAATTGAATGCTTAAATAGTATAGTGGATAAAGTGTGTAATAAGTTTGAAAAATGCACAGAGTATTTGGAACGAGAGATCAATGATTGTGAAATTTTAAACTTGGATGGTGTGCAAGAAGAAGAGAACAATGTGCCTTTACATGATATTTCGAACTCGGAACAATATAAGAAAGTTAACGAACGAGATCTGACAAAAAAATCTCGAGGGCAAGGTAAAAGAAAAATAAAACTAAGGTACTCTATGAAAAAGCAAAAGTCAAAATCAAAGAAAACTTGTGAAAATAAGCTTCCTTTGGAACCTGTATCAAAAATGTCAACAATAGTCGAAGTGAATACAGATACTGATGTTTCTATAACGAAAGATAATACAGGCAATAAAGCAAACGACTCTTCTGATAACAAAAACAATGTAAATAACTCAGTTATTCGTCGAAAGCGTAAACTATATTCACCAAAAGATGATAATGTAATGTATGTTGAAAACAACGAATCTGAAAAACAAAAAACCCCGAACGATGATGTTAGTAAATCGAATGCTGATAGAGTTATAGGCAATTGCAAAAAAGAAAATGCTAATGCAGCCATGTGCTATAGAGAATTAGAAAAAGAACGTCAAAAGTATAAAAGAACTAGAACGCGAAGATCTCGATGCAATATCGAAGCTGTATCTCCAAAAACTAAAAAACTAAATGATGTGTTCGACAATCTAAAAGATACTATCGAGGGTGAAGAAAAAATAATGCTAGCTGACAAGAAAAGCGCTAAAGATCTTACCATATTTAATTACACGAGCGACAGCGAAGATGAGGATTTTAAACAGAAGAAGATTGAGTTACAAAAACGAACAAGTACTACAACTGTTGCTAGTGGAAATTCTATAGTTTCTGCACTCCGGGACAGAACTGTTAATAAAGTTAACTACACTGAAGATGGCAGGGAGTCATCTACTGATACTTATAAAAAACCAAATACAAAACGTAAAAAAACCACAAAAAGAAATACAAGAAGTAAAAAGATAATGAAGAAGGAATTAATGGATGAAAAAGTGAGAAATGCAGCGCCTAAAACTCTAGATACTTCCTTCGTAGTTGAAAAGGAAGTTAAAAATAAAGAAGACGAACATTTGATACCTGTTATTAATGCTCCTGAATTCGAAACCATTCCTGAAGATAATCTAGTCATTCCAAAAGAAGTGGCTAAATCAGATGTGGAAAAGACCACGATAATCGAGAAAAGTAAAGGTATAAAACAGATTAAAAAGTCTAAGATAATGCTTGTTAAAAAAGAAAGAGGCGTTGATGACGCTAAAGAAGAAGTAAAATTGATCAATAACAAAGACGATGAACGAACAATTAGTCCTTTACCAGGTCTCTTAGTAGAAACTGTCAAAGATAAACCAAACTTAGATGATTCATTACCTTCGAATATGATTCAGAAATTTAAAAAAGTCTACCAAGAAGGTTGCTTGTTTGTTGTTGACGCTTTTAATGAGACTAACGTTACTAATACTACTCAAAATTTACTTTCCGATAATGATAGAACGAGTCCGCAAATGAATATTACTGAAGAGTTTAATAAAATTCATGGAGAGGCTGCTAAAGACGATAATACGGCGAAATGTACTAAAATATCTCAAGATGTTAAAGCAATTGAAATTTTGCCCTTGACTTACAGTGAAGGCAGGCCAAGAACAGAAGGCAAGGGTAGTTTGAAGAAAACAAAACGCAACCTTAGACTAAAAAGTAAAATTCCTTCTCTGATCGACAATTCTGTCGAAGATAATGTTGAAAAATCGGCATCAAAAATCAAATTGAGGATTAATAATCTTGAAGATAATCTGAATACTGATAAAGATATCTGGTCTAAAATGGGGACTCCAAAAAAACAAGTTCAAACAATACATGTCAAACAAAGGTGCGCGTCATTGAAATCAAAAACTAAAGAGAATAAACAACAAATTGAAACTTTGATCATTTCCGATGTCTCTGAAATGAAGTCCGAGAAATCAATTGCTACAGTTGGGATTACAGCTCATGGTGATCTCGATGAACTGCCACCAAGCTCTGAATCTCTAAAAATAAGACATTTTCCCCGTGAAGTAGTAGACATGGATGCGTCAATAAAAGAATATTACGTTAAACTTCACCATCAAGTAAATTTAAACAACACGAACTCTTCAAAATCTAAAGATAACAACGATACAAGAAAGAAACATTGCGACGAAATATCTATAAAGACTTCAACACCACAAAGGAATGTTGCCCACATTCAGAGGCAAAACTCAAAAATATGGTTACGGTCCCAAAAAAATTCCTCATCGAGCGATGAAAAAAGCGTATCTGTATCTATACCTCGTATTTCGTTCAACGAAATATCAAAATGGCTGCCTTCTTCACGAAATTCTCCGACTGACCACGACAATTCCGTACCGAGTTTATCCAATGATGATTTACGAAAATGTCTTCCATCACCTCGAAGCTCTAACTCTGAAGTTTCAAAGAAATCAAGCACGAAATTACCATTTAAAAGACCAACTACAATTGTTCAAAGAGAGATAGCTTCAAGTCAGTACACTAAAAGAAAATCTACCATATCGCCTATTAAACTTTTCGACAAATTATCAACAAATACTAAATACACTACTAGAAATTCGACCAAAACGGACACTGTGACTTCCAGCAATACAAACGACACTGCTCGAAAAGTAGATACTAGTGTAAAAAAAATCATAACAAGATCAGTTTTAAAAGAAAGTCAAGAATCTGCTTCCAAACTAAATGATTCGACTTCAATAAAGACACAGGGTGTTACTTTAAAATATGGCAGTAAAAAGAGAACGATGGAAACTCCGATAGATGTTGATGTGTCCATTGGACCCAGTGTATCAAGTGTAGATTATTGGTTCAAGAGGAATACAAGTGCTGTTGAACAAGGTAATTTTTCGGTAGTTCGCTTATTTGGTGCTACATTGATGTAATTGTAATTTTGGCAAATTTGGATAAAGGATGTTAATACGTAATTAATTAAGTCTTAATTCAATTATGCCAAAATTGCAATTAAGTCAATGTTGCACTAAATGAGCGAGTTGTTAATTTTTATCAATTTTTGTTACAATCAAATGTGTAAGTTCATGTACCGCATCGTTAGTGGAGATCTCAGAACGGAAAAGGTTTTTTTTCTGAATGTTTATGTGTATCGGAGATATATAGATGTGTGTGTGTGTGTGTGCGTGCGTGCGTGCGTGCGTGCGTGCGTGCGTGCGTGCGTGCGTGCGTGCGTGCGTGCGTGTGTCTCTGTATACACACACACACACACACACACACACACACACACACACACACACACACCTACCCACCACATATATACAGGGTGTCCGGTAAAGAATGGATAAGCTTGAAATGCCTTATAGTAGAGCTTATGAACGTTCAAAAAAATATATATTTACTCCTAAGATATATATTTTTTTCTTTAAATTTAATTATTTTCACCTTATTTTATGTTTTTGTACACCACGACTACAAGTTAACCAATTCCTTCGGTTTTTTGATGTCATAATATTCTACATAAACTGTGCTAATACATAGCCAGTAAATAGTATGACTAACTATGCCACTTAAATTTTTTTTTAAAGTATCATAACCTGAGTGGCCAACTATGCTAAAATAATGTGTGTTTAGGGTATATTTCATAATGGTATAATGCATTAATGTATCTAATATAAATAGAAAATTATTGCTATTATATATATATATATATATATATATATATAATAGCAATAATTTTAAATAAAATATAATATATATATATTATATTTTACACGTTATATTTTTAGCAGAGAACATAGGAAGTTCAGTCAAAGACATAGTACAAAACATAATAGAAAAACTGGAAACAACTCTTTCCGAGATACATCAGGATACCAGCAAACAGTGAGTATATTTATCTTCTTTTGAATAATAGTAGTCGAAACAATTTTTTGACTTGGACATAGTTATGCAAACTAGAACCAACCCACAAATTGTCACTTTCAAGACAATTAGATTTTTGTAAAAACTGTGTGAAGAAATAAATAGGTAAGTTATTTGAGAGAAACAACGTGAGTTATGTGTAACATTGAAAATTATATAGGGAAATTATTATATTATATAGCAATAAAAAGAAAACATTATGTATCTTCTTATTTAGTTAACGAGAACCATGTTCTAGTTTTCGTAATGAAAACGCTAAATATCTACAGTACTACAGTACATGTAACATGGATCCATTTAGCATAATTTAAAAAGTTACATTGTATGAAGTTAACCAGCATGGTTCTTTTTAGCTATTAAAAAGTTACTTATTTAGGGTTGGTACCCTGAAGGACTTTTATTTTCTCCGTTTTGGCTTGGTATATTGCCAGGATCTTTTGTGAGCGGTTAAAGGACACGTCTGGTGTTCTACCTAAATACATACTCAATTTCACTCGAGGTGTGGGTTGGTTCTTGTTTGCATAACTATGTCCACTTACAACATAGCTGTATTTAGAATGTGATAAACCTTATTGGGAATGAGACACCGCGCTTTTAATTGGTAGAGTAAGTAGAGAACATGGTAATTTTACTAGCTCATACTATTACAGTTTCATACACCTATTCGTGGATACACAAAAGCAATTGTCGGATCTAAAATCGCAACAGCACGACATGTACCAGCAGACAGCTACTAATATCTTAACCAGAGTTCGAAATATCATTGATGAAGAATTTATGGAATTGGATAAAAGGTATTGCTTTTCCATTTTATGTATTTAACACAACAACAAGCCCAGTTTTGATTGACCCATGTTGCAAAATTTTCAATATTAGTGCCCTCGTATCAGGGTCTACAGTAACTTGCCAAACTAGTGCTGTGAAATAATTTGGTTTTTAATAGTGGTTATTAAATAGTGGACTTAATGCCATAAGATAAAAAAAGTAATAGGTTGGTGCTACACTTAAAACAAAAATAATAAGATAATATTCCTATAAGCCAAAATGTGAAAGTAAATTAACATTATATATTATAAATATAATAGAATGTTAGGAATATTCACTATTATTGCAACATTCATTGTAAATTCAATATTGCCGTGTGGCAATATCTCTCGCCCTCTCTTCTCTCGGTGTTGGAAGAAAGATAGTGTGCTGTGACATCAAAGTTTCAAATATACCAAAGTTTCCTCCAGGGTCCTATGTAGCCGCATGCATGCTGCTGTGATTTTTGTGGAAAATGTCACTTATGTGGTTTTACCTTTAAAACCACATAAGTGACATTTTCCACAAAAATCTCCAAATTGTGTATCAGTTGTAAGAAATTCACCATCTTTCTGCAGATAGAACTGTTATTAAGTTTATAGCTTCTTCGTTATTGAGTTTCACGTGCAGAAAGATAGTCGTTTTCTTACCATGGCTATATGAATTAGACTTTTTTTTGGAAAATGTCACTGACGTGGTTTTACAATAAAAATAACAAAATATACAATATAATAGATTAATATACTATCTTTAATGTTATATCTCAAGAACTTGCTCAGTATTTTTTTCTTTATTCCTTAGAATTATAAATGTTATTTCCAGGACCCAAGAAAGAGATAATACACTTACTAGTTGGATAAAACAGCAAGCCACAGAATTTATAAAGCAAGATTGTCGTAAAAAACGCGCCATGGTTCAACTACTTAAGGAAGACGCCCAGGCGGTTTTAGAGTACATCAAAAAGACGAAGCAACTAGAATAGTTTATAAAAAATAAGCTACCGTTAAAGGTTACAAACTTAAGTAAATAGAGATTAACTGGTGAAGTGATATTTTTCGTATGTGAATTATAAAATAGAAGCAGTGACAGAACTAGGGAGAACGCTTGGGTCTTACATTTTCCACTGCCCTCCTTGTCATAACTAACGCATTTGCATTTCGGTAACTTTCGAAATATTGGCACATAGCTTTTTTTTTTAATAAATTTTAATTACGCCATTGCCTACCAATAAATGGACGACGGGTATAATACAAAAACCACGAAAAAATGTTCGCCGTTAACCTATATAAAGTTAGTAACATGTAAAAAAATATAAAGAACTAAAACATTTAATCGAAGTGTAACGTCATAGCAGAACTACTTAATTTTGCTTGCAACAATTTAAAGACCCAAAAATTCACCTTATTCAGCTTCCACTGGATATTACCAAAATGCACCATATTTAGCTTCCAGTGAAAATTACTAGAACACAAGAGTAATAGAGTAGCCTTTACTGCAATATTAATTAATTTATATATAATATTGTGTTGAATTTTGTACCAATTCACTTATAAGAAATAATAAAGAGTTGTATAAATATATACATACAAATAATAATAATAATGTACACATTCCACATAGCCCCTCATTAGGGACACCCTGTGTCGCGGGCGCCATGGACACACACATAGACAACCACAAATTACACCCAAACTCACGAGAGAAATAAATGTAGGCCATACAAATATTTCTCCCGGCCTGGGAATCGAACCTGGGACCTCTGCGTGGTCCGGCATGGTAACCGTTCGGCCACGGAGGCAGTGGCAGTTGTAGATCTCGTTTCGCTGATCCCAGATTTGTTAATAACTCAATTTCAATAAATATTTAGATTAGTTTTATAAGTAATTATTATTAAGGAGGGCAGCATAGGTCTTGTGTGCGGTTCACCGGGAAGCCTGTACCCATAGAGTTTATAACCTGGGGGTCTACTCTCGATCTCCGTCCAACATCTGTCCGAAACAATTACTGTCAAATAAGTAATATTCGACAAAATTAAAAAACAAGTATCAAGAATGAAGCTTCATTCGCAACACGCGTCTTTTCATTTGGTCGAGTATTGCTTATTTGACAATAATTGTTTCGGACAGATGTCGGACGGAGATCGAGAGTAGACCCCCCGAAGGAGAAACGAAATGTAATTTAATTTGTTGGAAAACTATTTTGCCAATTCAAACTGCGCTTCGATTGGCCAGCCCGAATTCGAAACAATTGACAGGGTGTCGTTAATTGTTTCACTTCAAAACGACCACTTGAGCTTTGCTATAATGGTCGGAAATTGAAAAATTACATAATTTAATATTTAATTACCGATGAAATGTGATTCCATTTGTGTTATAATTAGATGTTTTGCTGTTTTTCCCACACCACCGAATGGAATAACCACCCATAGTTAGAGACATTATCTTTATTACAATAAATAGAGAATATTTTTGGAATATACGGAGACGTATACACAGGTCAGTTGTTGGCGCTGTACTATTTCAGCTTTCTAATTTGTGATTTCAGCACGAACGAGAGTTGATATTTAAAAGTTGGTATCACTACCATTTGACTGATGAGTTGCCAGGGGTAGCCCTTATTTCGTCTCTATTTCTGGTTATGTACTCGATGATACAACACAAATGAGAATAAACATACTTTAAAAAAAAATTCAACCAACTTCAAAGACCAGAAAAAGCCCATGCCCAGCAGTGAGGCGTATACACGGGTTGATGTCGTTGAAAAGTTTTTTATTAGCACGAGATTATAACAGACTATACTTTTTTAAAAAGCTTAATCGAATTTTCAGGAACCTGTGTATGTATACAGGTCAGTTGTTGACACTGTACTATTTTAGCTTTGTAATTCGTGATTTCAGCGCAAACGGGAGTTAACATTTAAAAGTGATATCAGTCCCTTTTGACTGATGAGTTGCCAAGGAGAGATTGCCCCTTATTTCTGCCGTCCACTAAGTAAAATTCGGCTAAGTGACAAATTGTCAAATATCCGTTTTAAGTAGAAAAAAATAGAGCACAAAATTCTCTTTTAAAAACAGTTAAAATTAGTTAACGTTTACGACTTATCGGAACCTACCCTAACGATGCATAGCTGATATTTTAAAACTGGGTTATGGTTTTTTTGGGTGATATCTCCAAAAAGATATTTTGTCACTTAGCCGCGTTTTAGTTAGCGGACGGCAGATTTCGTCTCTATTTCTGGTTATATACTCGATGCCTGTACCACTGGATCATCATCATCAACCCATTTATATGTCCCACTGCTGGGGCACGGGTGTCCTTTCAGACGAGGGTTTAGGCGATAGTCCGCCACGCTGGCCCAATGACCGGTTGGGGACTTCACATGATTTCCGAAATTGTAAACCTTCTACAACGTGCAAGTTTCATCGCGATGTTTTCCTTCACCGAAAAGCTCATGGTAAATTTCAAATTAAATTTCGCACATAAATTCCGAGAAACTTAGAGGTGCGAGCCCGGATTCGAACCCACGACCTTCTGCTTGAGAGGCAGTAGGTCAAACAATTAGGCTACCACGGCTTACCACTGGGTGTTTTCCAATAATGTACAGTATGACTTGCTGTTTTAAAGTCATGTATTGCTTTAAAGTCAAGCGTTGAGATAAAACGCAAATGGCGGGCTATAGTCTTTAAGGAGATCCGTACTGGATACGGATCTCCTCAAAGACTCATAGTACGACTTACATAAGTTGATGATGCATAAAATATCAATGTTACAAGCGATTAAATTAGACTGTAAATTGATTAATTTTTTAACAGTAATAGTGCGTTATAAACCAGTTTCCAGTTCATTTCTGTTTATACCACTGTTTCCATCGCAGGTATTTTATAAACTCGCTATTACCTCGCCTACATGTCGGCGTGCTAAAGTGGTCTATTCACTGATCAACATGTTAGTTGATAATAATAAAGTAATGCAGAAGAGTTCTACATTTAAAAATGCAGAGCATTATTTGTCAATAATTCCCGTAACTGAACGTTGTGAGAACTTTTAATTTTTGTTATGTGTTGATTAATTTCGTTTTTCATTTTTTTATTTAAACAAATGTTATAATTTTTTTAATGTACAGCATTTTCTTAAGTTGCTGTTTGATTTTATTAGTTTCAATTTCCAAGTGATATGTGAATAATGATAATGATGATAAAAAGATTTCTAGATATAAGTAATATTTTTCAATAAATATTTTTAAAGCAAATTCGAGTTTTAAAATGTTTAGAAATGAGAATTAAAAAAAACCTTCAAAACCGGAACGCAGTAATGCTCACATTACTGCTTGGCGGCTAAAATAGGTAAGGTGGCAGTACTTCCCTGGATGAACACTTTCACAAGGAGCTCTACGACTACTAAGGCTTACCATCAGGCGCACGACTTGTTCGTCCTATCACCTGTTAAGTCATAGCTTATAACTGGTGTTAAACAGTGGGTGATTAGTAAGGTTATAGGTATATTTTTTACGAACAATAAAAAATTGCATATTTATTTATTTAAATCTTAGTATATTATAATAATTTATTTTTTTAATTATAATTCAACCAATGGACAAAACAAAAGACTCCTACAGACGATATTACAAAAAATCCAATCTAGCTTTAACAAATGAACAATAATCACTCTAACCAAACATTCTAACATATTTTGTGGCCTATAAAATTGTATTATCACTGAATACGAAATAATATTATGGAGTCTGAAAAATTAACCTTAATAAGCTGAAGTGGTATTGTATATGTATACCCGTTGGCCACTCATTTCTCAATCACGTAACCAAACCAAACCACCAAACGTTGAAAGCTTGTCTCAAATAGCATTTGCAACGTTGTTCTTGCAATGTGATTCTTGCAATGTGATTCTATAAAAGACTATTATTTCGGATTTTGTGATGAAATAGGCGCTGTAGATAGGTTTGAACTTGTACACGTTAGATCTCATGACGTCACCAGTACCGTAAATGTTCACACAACTCCAACACTTACGCAAGTGATATCATAGTAGTAAGTACTATACGCAGAGGTAGCACATATGTATAAGTCACATAACTTTTTGCAATCAATAAATTAGTGTGCACAAGGGCGAGTCCTATACTTCGGCCCTATACTTCATGTCCTATTCTAAGAGCAGTAGACATTGTTCCATTCAGTCTTTTCAATTACATGCGCACTTAATTCTTAAACTTAGTCATTACGACTCTTCTTGGCTGGCGACCTGAGCGATAAAAACTTGTTGTTGCGGTTGGTGTTGTGCTTGCGATGTTACCTGCAAAATATAACATGTTTTAAAAAAAACCATACTTATGTTTACACAGGCAATTCTTTTTCAGACCCACATACTAAATCTATGACACCCACCACTGATATAATATCAATCTTCAAATATTTTTTTGACTAATCCTTGTATTCTTTTTAATTTTTTTTTATAATACCAAGTGACAGGACGAACAAGCCGTGCTCCTGATGGTAAGCACACACCTGTCCTTAATAGTTGCAGTGCCACTCAGAGCTTTATATCGCAAAGATCTGAGTGGCATTGTCACTGCGTCCGTCACACCGAGACATAAGTTAACAAGTTCCATGTGCCTGTAATTTTATTACAGACACATAGTATATTATTTCCCTTGCCCTTCAAAACCGGAACACAATAATGCTGACATTACTGCTAGGCGGCAGAAATATGTAAGGTGACAGTACTTCCCTGGACGAACTCTTTCATAAGGAGCTCTGCTGCTACTAATTAAATTATAAAACTTGTATAAATCTAACAATTGCAATTTTACACGTCGGAGAACACACACTTGTCAACCAGAATGTGGGACAACACGATTATGAGTAAGTTAGTTATGTATTTTTTGCTAAACCTTGTATAAATCCAACAAACGCGATTCTACATGTCGGACAACATAGAGTTGTCAACCAGCATGTAGAACAACACAATTATGAGTAAGTTACATAAGTTTGTTCACCCGACCGATTTGTTCTTTATAATTTTATGGATGTTTTTCATCTTAATACGCGTATTTAAAACATCGCGATGCAAGAACTGACCTGTATTATCTGCGGCGACTGCTGTTGTGTGTGGATGACGACAGGCGAGCCCTGTTGGTTGTTCTGCAGTTGCAATCGGATCATGTTCAGTTGGGCTTGCGTCAGCTGGAGTTGCTAGAGATAGAAATGTTTATTGTTTTTAGTTACAAGTTAAAATACAAAACACATTTTGTACAGGTAAAATACTGAGCGCGATCGATCCGTCATTTTGTCAACCCTAAAGAAAAGGCGCGCTTTGTAATGGCTTTGTCCAAACATGTGCTATATGCCCAAAATATTAATCAACACAATATGTGTATTTACATTAACGTAAGCTAGTAAAAGTGTTGATGTTGACTGTATTTAGCGTGTCTTACCGGTACCTGCTGCACTTCCCCGTTAGAGGTAGTAACTAGTTGCTGTACAATGACAGGTTGTTGGGAAACGGCCACGTTGCTGGACGTGGTCGCTGCTTGAGCGTTTGTTGATTGCTGCAAATACAATACATTCTGAGTTTTAGTCTATTATCAGACTGTACTTGATGACCTAGAAGTCATAATAAATAAAAACCAAAAGGGTGGAAGCCCAACAGGTGACTTGCCTACTGTTATATAAAATTTTAATTTTGATTAATTAGAATATTTGTTATGAATGTGTTTTTGTATTATTTTTAGTTAAATTATCAAAATAGGACTATATGTACAGGTCATATTAGGACTACAAAGGACTCTTAGGATATTGCGTGGAATTGTAATATGAGAACATATAATGCTGTTTTTACCTGCACTATCTGTGTGGGCTGTATGATGAACTGCTGGTGTGCCTGCTGCAATGTTTGATGTTGTTGTGGCAATTGCTCGACAGTCTGCATAGGTCGTGGCGGATCGTCACGCGGTTTAGTCGGTTTCACCTCGTGTCGCGGAACTATATCAATTAAGAAGTCGAATTGGTCCGACTTTGATATCGCCATTGCTATGTCGTTGCGCTGAGGAGTGTTTTAGAAATTCAATATTAATGTATAAATTCATTTATTAAAAAAAATAGTTGAATAGCTCTATGCAGGATAATGTTATACTAGAACACCTTTCCCATGTCATCCAGTTCAGTAGTTATTCAACTACACTACACTTTTAAACTGCCTCCTTGGCCGAACGGTTACCAGGCCGGACTGCCACGCAGAGGTCCCAGGTTCGATTCCCGGGTCGGGAGAAATGTTTGTATGGCTTACATTTATTTCTCTCGTGAGTATGGGTGTAATTTGTGGTTGTCTATGTGTGTGTCCATGGTACCCGCGACTCAGGGTTTCCCTAGTGCGGGGCTATGTTGAGTGTGTGCGTTATTTATTTACACAGAGTATGAATAACTATTCATATTAAACGGAACGCAGCGCTTATCAACAAGACGTTATTTATACATAAAAACTGTTTTAGTACCTGCAGTGTCCTCCTTTTATTATCCTCAGTGTGACTCCAAGCCCGCAACGTTAACTCATGTATAAAGATCTCGGCAGCCTTTGCGAAGAGAATAGGAGCTTCAGCGGATATCATCTTCACCTCCTCGTCCAGTTTCATAATTTTTTTGATACGGGCGAGAGGCAATGCTTGCGTTTTGAAGTCCTCCTATTACATTGTGTTTATTTATTAAACTACTGTTGATCCAACTGGTAGGTAGCCTTAAGATTTGTAGCTGGTACATGCAAAATATATCGTTTTTATTTAAGTACTTTAGGTCTATAGCGTGCGTTTTAGTTACTTTTTTTACCTAGCTTTGATTATAGTATTTGCTTAAGAGAGATATAATAAAGTCGAATAGGTACTCACAGAGGTAACCTTCTTGATATCCTCCATAACATTATGCCAGAACTGCTGTAGCGTCTGCTGTGCAGTGTCAGCTGGATTTACCTCCTCCACTGCCTCTTGGTCTAGTACCTCCTCGGCTACGTTGCCTGACTGATCCCTGAATTGGAAAATCAATATACAAAAATATAAGCAAAAAAATAATTTCAATGTCTGGGCGGTTGGTGAGGCGGTTACCGAATAAAGTAAATGATTGAGAAGAATCATCGGCACCTTTGTTCTGTTACGAACATCTTTCAAGTAACGGCAACGGAGAGATAAATTTTCCAAGACTGACTTGAGCACTGCTCTGTTTTATGTGTCCAGGAATAAATGTAATCCGTCCGCGTGTTGCCTGCCTGCTGTACCAAAAACATCTTATTCTTAGTATGCCGCTTCTCTACGAAGGTTGGCGACCATTATGGTTATTCTCATTTTTGAAGCTGCCGCACGAAAGCATGTGGTTAACGTGACTAACTCCATACCACAGGGAAGCCTGATTGGATGCATATTGTTCCTAATATACATTAATGATCTACAAATTTTTTTATTTTTTTTTTCATTTATTTGCGGATGACCTGTCGGTGTTTTTTTCATGTACAGATGGAAAAGATTTAAATATTGATATTAATAATATACTCAGTAATGTAAATAGCTGGCTTAAGGACCACGATTTATTTATTTAACTAATATAGAAAAATAAAATTAACTCCACTGCATATAAATTTTACAATGAATGACGCACCAAAAGAAACAATTAATACTTTTAACTTACTTGGAATAAGAATTGACACAAATATAAATTGGAACCTACACATTAATAATATCTCAGGTAAACTCAGTAGATTTAGTTACGCATTGCTATATTTGAAGAAAACCACTGACATAACAACGGCTGCTTATTATGCTTATGCTCGTGCTTGGCTCAACCATGGTGTAATTCTGTGGTGAAATAGCACAGATACTTTTCGCTTGTTCACTCTACAAAAAAAAGTGTATAAGAATACTGGTAAACGTCGACCCATTTGAAAGCTGCAAGCCACATTTCATTAAATTTAATATTTTAACGTTGCCATCATTATGCGTTTTGGAAATATGCAAATTCGTCAACAAAAACAAACATTTCTTCACTAAATTAAAATACGCCTAAACTCAACCGTTAAACCTCAGACATAAAGACAGACTGGCACTACCTAGCTCAAAATAAAAAAATGCACAGCACAGTACCATTTGTAATGGCAATTAAAATATTCAATAGTATCCCCAAGGAAATTTCATCCCAATCACAGACTAATTTATTTACCAAACACCTTAAAGCACATTTGATAAAAATATGTTATTCTACAAGAGTTTTTTGATTTATACATATAATATCTATATAATTATTGTTTTTCTTGCTAATTTTTAAATTTTATTACTTTTATGTTTATTTTAAATTTATTATACTTATACTAACAGGGTCATGTTGATATTATTTAGATTTTAAGATCCGTGTAACACGTGGAAGCAATAAATACTTTGACTTTGTGCTAAGGTGAAACCAGTCTCTCAGATTGGTTGGAGAACCACGTGGTTTTTCTTCGGTCACGACTACGCTTTCCTTACATTTTAACCTGCATTATTAGTTGAAGAATCCGGTATTTCTTGCCCCTCATTACGTGTCCAAAATACTGCTTTTTTAAGCTTTACAGTTCAAAGTATTTCCAACTTTTTTCCCATCCGACAAAATACCTCAACATTGGTGACCTTTTGAACCCACGATATGCCAAGCAAATGTCTATACAGCCACATCTCAAAGGACTCCAGTTTATAACATAATGCTAGAGTCAAGGTCCAACACTCCATACCAAACTGTATCTTGCACTGAAGACATAGCAGCGGACCAAACGCATGCGGAGTTTAAGGTTGAACCTTCTACAACACAAAATCTTTTCATTGTCATGTAGGTACTTCGTGCCTGTTCGATGTGAATAAGTACGAACTTCTTGTACGCCATCCCAGTGTTCATTTACGTGGCTGCCGAGGTATTTAATTTGGTGTACGCGTACCATTGGATTATTTTCCAAAGTCTCATTCAAATATAATTCTCTATTGGGATCTTAGATACGACCATGAAGGTTGTCTTTTTTGTGTTGATTCTTAATCCATAGTTGTTACTTGCTACATTTATCTACTGGATTCAGTAGCTTTTGTAGGTCCGCGATATACTCCGCAATTAGTACCTATAGTATCGTCTGCGTAGCGTATATTATTATTAACTTCTCCGTTTATCACTATACCCTCTTCGGGTTCGTGTAGAGAATCCACCATTATTCTCTCTGCATACACATTAATAAAAACAGGTGATAATGTGCACCCTTGTCTAACGTCACGTTTGATTTCAGTTTCTTTGGATAGTTGGTGTTCCGCTTTTACCATTGCTTTCTGGGCCCAGTACCGATTGGTCATAACTCCGTCTGTTAATTCCAATATGTTCCAAAATCTGATTCAGATGTTAATGGCGAAAAATGTTTATGTTTACCAAAAACTAATTCAACTAAATTTAAAAAGTAATAATAATAATTTCCGAATTAAAATTATTCTTGAAATCGAATGAGGTAATAATCCATTGTAAAAAATCAATCAATCACAGTACTCATTGTGTAGTGTATACCAAGCCTTATCGGCGTAAATGATTTTTTCCAAATTCAACTTTAATGTCTCGGGGTAAAGTTTATTTTGGTTTGGAAATAGTTAGGTTAAATGTAAGATGATAAAATAAACATTAGGAGCCTACTTACTATAATATTATTTACTACTTTGATATGTGGAATAAGTACATTATACTTACCGACCGACCGTACATAATTATTTATAAATAATAGTGGGTAAACACAGACATTCCAAACCTTATTTAATACAGTAGACAAAAGCAAAAGTGTTTCCAAACAAACAATAAAAAAAATACAAGGTAATAAAATTATTGGTAATATTTCAATAGAAGTTTAGGTAAACATTCTATTGACATGTTTCTTATCGTTAGGAACGCAACGGGAACTTACGCAGCTGGCACGAAGAAGCACACCGACATCTTGTATTTCGACGACCTCTAAACAATTTCGTGCGAAACGCAAGACGCGCCCGAGATTTTCTTGAAAATTTATTTCCAAATTACGAAAAAGAAAATTAGTAAGCGCGGCCAAAGTTAATAAAACACGGTAACCAATAATCAGAGTAATATTTGGAGATCTCCAATCACCAATTACTGAAAATGCGCCTATTCCACGATTCGTCCACCGATGACCAGTCACAAGCTTGACGTTTCATCGATGTTGCTAATTACGTTAAAGACAGCAACCTACACCAATCTTTTGTGTTAATTTTATTTTGATATGAAAAGTATAAGATTTTTGTCTTGTTCACTATCGTATTTCTAATAAAACTAGTCTTATGTGTTAAATCTTTGAGATAATTGCGATTATTACTTTTAAACTCTATTATGAATTATAATAAAATTTCAACTGAAAAATAGTATAGAAGTAGAAAATCCATAAATATGGCAACATCACACGGAAATGACGACTTTAAAGTTTTTAATCAGTGACGTCACCAATCTAGCGTCTATCTAAAATGGCGGCCGCCGAGATTCAGGTCGCGAATTCGTCAAATTTAGCGAAAATAGAAAGGTAATTCCTGCCAAAACGTGCAGTATTATCTGTTTTCCACAATTCACATTAAAAAAAATTTGGTTATATTTGTGTTTTCTTGGTGAAAAAGTGGTGGGCGTGTGGTGTTCATAATCTTGTTTGTTTTCAGTTTTTTCACAGATTCTAGTTACAAGGAGTTAATAGAGAACTCTTCTACTTTTAATTCACGACTATGTGCCGAAAGGCGGATGCGAATGCCCTTTATCGACACCCAAACGGGTAAGTTATTGATTTTTTCGTCTCCCAAAGATAGTGTTTACTAGGGTGACCATATGCAAATAGGACGCTGGGGACATATTTCTTGATTAAATTTTCCGTAAAGTACAGCTCTAAAACTAGGAAATGTCATTTCTTGTCGTTCAGGTGTCGCACAGAGTCATTGCAACCTATTTATGACAAGAAAACAGCGCATGCCGGGCGCAAGAGAGGGCCAAGTCTACACATATCCTTCACAGAGGTATGATAATTATAGTACTGTTTCCAAACTTTCGTAAGTTGCTAATTTTGGTATTTAGGTCATGTTTAAACAACACATTATATTGTACATGCATTGATACTTTGTACACGTTGGGAAACATCCCTGTGAATAAAACATGTCTGTTTTATTTACTTAGCAAAATCATAATCATGGCCACTATTGCACACAGGCAGCACGTCAAGCTACTCATTGATGAATCTTGATCCATTGCACTGGAGGCAATATCGAACAAACGTAGGGATGAAATGTAAATTTGACAGTGTTAACCATACAGGCCAGTTAGGTTTTAAGTAATATGTGCAGCGCCAATATCTATGTCATGTTGCCACTGTAGTGGTTTAACCTCTAAGGCTGAAATTTACACAATGAACTTTGAATTCAGTAATGCAAAAATTAGGAGCTAAGCATGTGTTTAATAATTGTAAAACTGACTGCCTAGGTTTAAACAAGAAATTACAAACTACACTCAAAGTTTAATTTAATTCCTTGCTAAATTAAGCAAAGTTTGTTTTTTTTTTTTTTTTTTAATAATAACGCACACACTCAACATTTTATCAGTTTGGTAAATATGAAAATTTCTTTGCTCTCCATGTTTGCTAAGTCAAAGTAAAATTTTTATAAATATTAGCCTAAATATGGAAAATAAGATTTGGGCCTTTATTAATCAATCACTAGGCCAATAACATAAAGAAATACTTGTTTATAGATAATTTTGTGTTAAGAGTTTTTGGATATTCACTAATATGTAGAAGTGACTTTCATGTCATGCTATTTTCATTCTTATGTTGCACACGAAAACAAAAATATGTTGCATAAGGTCATCTGAGAAGATTAAACATCTGCCGATTCATTCAAAAAACTTAAAGATGCATATGACCATTATTTATGTAACTTAAACATTTTATAGAGATACATGCTATTTGTCACAAAAACTTTTAAGTTACTAGTTGGACAAATAATTTTAAGTTATTTTTGATACATTTTTTTATTTAATGCATCACCCATTTCAGATTCTTAGTAACTGTTGGTTGTCTCTGATTTTAATTAGATGGCGGAAAGCCCGTCGCCAGTACCTCACAATGTCCTCAAATCGATGGGGCTGGAGTGCTACGGATGCTGCAGAGAACACTGGAGAGGGTGAGAACAGTTCTGGTGTGCCCGGAGAATTGCTGGCTGGTGACGACAGTAGGGATGGCTCTCAAACCGCTGCTAAAGATGATCCCAAGGTAATATTATATATTTACATCCATAAGAAATGAAACTATTTTTTTGGATCTATTTGTTTTTCAAACAGACCAACATTTCGGGAACTTTACGAATCATTGGTTTGTTGGAAAAACAAAATAACGCGATTTTGATAAAAAAAGTAGTTTCGTATCCCAGAAAGTTGAAGAAAGGGAGCTTATAGATATTCAGGCAATATAAAAAATTTAATATGTTGGACCAATAAATCATTATTTTAATGTTTTAATCAAAAAAGATTTTCTTTATATTCTTAAATGTCTATAAATGAGGATGATGCATTTATAAACATTTAGGAATATATGATATTAAATATCATTTCATTCCCTTTGTTTCAATTTTCTGATTTTAGCAATTTTTGCTTTCTAAAGGATTTTATATTTCACTCTCAACAATAGGCTGACTTTGTTAGAATGTATGATTAGGGGCTAATAATCGCACTATGATGTTCATAATGCTCATTATGCCATAAAGCAAGTACATGGTAAACATGTTTACTACAGATACTCACCAATCTCTCTGCAAGGTGTAGCATTAAGGTACAGTTTTTCAATCTTACATATAATTTTATACTAACAAATATTTCATCGCTGCATTTCGATGTAGCACTTCAAGTCGTGAGATGTAGGTCATAGTTCATTACATAAATAATTTAAATAACCATTGGTGGAGATTACGTTGAATCAGATTGTATCTTATTCCAGTTTTAATACCTGCTCTTTTTGTTGTCCATCATGTAGGGAATCATAGTATGAACACCAGGCTCTCACAAAGTTTCCTGCATGTCTTTTGTTTATAATGTACTAGCTGGTGCCCACGACTTACTCTGTGTAGAATAAGGACTTCGAGAAGTCTACTATACTACTTACTTGATAAATTATTTGTGTCCATTCTCTTTTTTTTATAATACCAAGTAATGGGACGAACTAGTCGTGCGTCTAGTGGTAAGCGACACGCCTATCCATAAGAGTAGCAGTGCCACTCAGAACTTTTAATCGCAAAGATGCCACAGCGCCGGTCACCTTGAGACAAGTTGACAAGTCGCGTGTGCCTGTAATTTCCCCAGTACCCTTGCCCTTCCAAACCGGAACGCAGTAATGCTCACATTACTGCTTGGCGCCAGAAATAGGCAAGGTGGCAGCACTTCCTTGGACAAACTCTTTCACAAGGAGTGCTACTACAATTTCAAATTTCATCACCTATTTCGCGCCCTTTAAGATTTATTTTTGTGACAAAAAGTAGCCTATGTCCTTCTCCTAGGTCCCATCAAATCATCAAATCAAATTTGATTCAGCGGTTTAGGGGGTCTACTCTCGATCTCCGTCCGAAACAATTACTGTCAAATAAGTAATATTCGACTAAATTAGAAGACGAGTCTTCAGTATAAAGCTTCATTCGCAACACGCGTCTTTTCATTTGGTCAAGTATTGCTTATTTGGCAGTAATTGTTCCGGACGGATGTCGGACGGAGATCGAGAATAGACCCCTAGGCGTGAAAACGTAACAGCTGTCGCATGTACAGTATTAGTCTGGATTATGAATCTTTGCTTTTGTGCGAATGAATACAGTTATTATTATTACACACTGACAACAACAACAATAACAGCAAGAAGTGAGGGAGACACGATACATGTCATAACTTGACAGTTATCAGATACTTAGTTGACATTAGCGACCATTTTAAAAACATTTGAAAATATGTTGTCTACAGGAATGGTTCTACGACGAACTGGCTATGGAAGAAATGGAGACTGGAGAAGAGCCCGAAGCGGAATCAGACGAGGATTACTACGATGATACTTATGCGAACCGGCGCAGACGACGTGGAGGTAGCACACCCACCGGGCCAGGTTCGAGAGGCGGCAGGACTCGGAAATCACAACCTGATGATACACCTGCTAAGAGGGGACGATCTGTGAGTATTTATACCAAATGTTCTTTATTGCAAGGATGTCCGTGACTTTGTTTTGGACATTGCTACATTGTTCTTAGTAACTGTTCTGCAGGTCGATTCAGAACCTTACTTCCGATTACCTTCGATTTGATATTACGATATATACATTTTTATTCACAACACCCGAATCGAACGTCAAACTGTCGTATTTGAAACCTACCCGAAATGACGTCATACCCGTACGATTACTCGAACGTCTCGACCGGCAAAGGCTAGAAACGTTATTCAGAACACAGTTATCGAATTAAAGTTACACGGAACGTCCTATTGTTTACAAAGCAAGTATGTAATATGCAAATCTCTTATTATTTTAAATAAAATTTGGATTTTGTTTAATTTTATTAATTTATTTTAATGCAAGACTAATGCATTCTTATATTTTAGGCCTTTAAAGTCTTAAAAATGTATATAAAAGGATTTCATTTTTCTTATAATCTACATTCGCCGACTTACTCCGTAAACATTGTTGGGTAACGATATCGTATCCAAATCGGAATCGAACGTTTTAACTCGAATGTTCTAAGTTGCTCGGAAAGCGCCCTTCGATTCGAGAACGATATCCAATCGAACGATTCGGTTAAAATATCGAAGAGTTCTGAATCGGGCTGCGGGCTACGAAAGTGCATTTTAAATATTTCTCAAAGATTTATAAATTATTGTATGTCTTAGACTTATCTGGATGATTGTAAAATTGACGTACCCAATAAAATTAGAAATAAAATTATCTTTTTTGTAGACCTATCTACAAAGAACGCAACTCTTAAACTTTTCCATAATTTCTTGGACAACATATTTGATCTTCTTGTATAAATTCCTGTGCAAGAAAAAATCGGGTAGTTCGGCATCATAATGACCTACAATAGCATGATCTACATAGTCAGCAATCATACGTTCCGGAGACTCGTACATCCTTGTCAAAACGCCTCAATATGATACGACAAAGGACTGCTTAAGGCCTTGTGTAACTTGCAAATTTTTTCAATAACAAAATACACTTCTGGCAAATTATTTGTTAACTCACGAATATTTTGGCGTTTTAAGTTTTTTAACTTTTGCATTGTTACTATAAACATTCATAGTGCTCATCTGCCTAAGTCACTATTAATACTATATTTTGTAACAGACGTACTAACGACTTTTCATTAATAAGTGTATTTTTACAGGGTCGCGGACGCAAACGTGCAGGGCAAGGCACACTTCCATACGAATGTCCCGGTGATTCGGAGAAGCCGTTCGCCTGCGAACGTAAGTCTACCAGGAGGCGGCACTAGCGCCTTTAAATTATACGCTTTTTCAGGGGTGAAGTTGATTTACTTGTCTGCATACCTGTATATCTTGTTTCAAAATGGCAATTACAGAGTCACCACATTCAACAGTTTTCACTGAATCGGCAAAAGCCGGTCAGAAAACTACCACAGACGTAAAGATTTTTCTGACCAGATTCCGTGTCGTTAGGTGTGATGACTCTGTTAATACTTGTATTTACATAATTTTACCAGCCTAAGGGTCAGCGCCTAAGGGTCGCACACCGGCGAACGGCAAGGCAGAGAAAATTAAATTTATCAATGTATATTTTACGTTATTGCAATTGAAATAACGTATAAATTTCAATACTCTGACTGAGAGAAATGCGCTGCGAGACTTTGAGGTCAGTCCCACTCTCACAGGTCCCAGAGACCAGGTGCGCTGGCCCTTAATTCTGTACTACGTTTACCATGTATATTGTTGTATTTTCCATAAATATTCCTTCAATTGGTAGAAAACAAATACTCCAAGTAGTCAAAATGTTATATTAGGATAGTTTTTAGGTTGGTTTTCTCCACCTAATTTCGGTGGCAACCTTTGTTATTTCATATATTTCATAATAATTTCCTCGAATGCGTAAAATAATAAAAATTGCCATTGAAATTGAGGTAGAGAAAACAAATCTGGAAATTATCCATTACCAAATCTGGCGACGTCATGTTCCTCTCTTGATTAACTGTAGTAACTGGCATATGCAAATTTTTCAGGGCAGTGTGGTTTTAGTTTAAAAGTTCACATTTAGCTTGTGATAATCTCGTTTTATCAGTGAGTTATATTCCAATATACAAACATACAACGATTAAAGAAACTTAAGTTTCTCATAGGTGGCGCGGACGGCAAAAAAGCCGAAAAAATCTGTGTATCAAGAATAAATAACAAACTAGTCGAGTATTGTCACAAAAAATACGCTAATATCACAGCAGTAAAAACACCGTCATTATCACGAAATAAATAAAAATATTATTTCTTCACAAATACTAGGAATCACACAATACTTAAAAACTGAAGTGATGTGGACAAAAGGGTTAAAGATTCAGCATTGCTGATTTTGAGTCTTCACCTGTAGCTAGCGGTTCGCTTGCTGCACCTGGCAATGTGCGGAGTGTAAAAATGATGATTAGTGAACAATATGAGCTTTTCAAAGCTTCGACTATAATATCAGGATACGACAGTTACTGAGGAGAGCAATGATTACCATTTTCGCATCGGAATTTGTGAAATATTATTAAATGCTCTTAAGATTCGGAGTGTAGAGAAATTCTACTAAACTTAGGAATATAATTTATACCCTAAATGATAGATAAGTTGATCAATATCACTCCAACATGTAAAATATAATGATAGCTCAGGTCCATACCTCTTAGAATGCTAGCTCCCCACCCCTGATAGTCTTACACAATCTGCCTTATTGTATGTACCAACTTGAATAGTAATAAAATACATATAACATTATAATTGCAACGTAACTTTGGTTATATGAGATTGACTTATTAACTAAAAATCGCTGTCTTTATACAATAACGCCTTATAATGTAAACAGACATCGACGAACGGACATGACGAGCAGAGCAAGCGAAAAAAGTGCTTTGTTCACGCTAAAGTTTTGCGCTGCTCGTTTCTGTATGAATAGTTAAAAATCGTAGTATTCTGCAATGCTGCGTTATTGAATGAAGATAGCGAAATATTTTAGATGTTATGGGTGCATTGGCCCCAGAAATTTACTACACAATCCAACAGTTATAATATAATTATTGGCAAATGAATTAGAATAATGAATAGCCTTGATTTGTAACTTCATATAGATAAATAGATTTTAGGTAAACACATATCGAGAGCTTTTAGACAGTTATTCATATATCGTTGGTTAGGACTTAGCCACAACATATTATAAGAAATTCGTTCGCACATACGATTTTTAACATCAGAGGCTTAGTTGATTGATATCTGCAACAATGCTGTGCACACACCCGTAGTGTATGCAGGCGAACAGCTTATAAGTTGCAAATATGCAGTTTCTGTGCAGTTCGTTTGCAATGGAGATAATTGGGTTTGCTGCTAGTACGCTACTAGTTAACACATAAATAAGGCATACAGTAGTTGCTCTAACTGCACCGGAATTGTACGTTATCAGTTGAGATGCAGTTAGGGTTCAAACTTTGAATAATGCCTAACATGCACGGTACAGCAGTCGAATGTCCGGCAAAATGTATTGTAGTGTATATGCAGTTGCAATGTCTCTAATGCTAAAGTACCATTTGTTGAGAGGGCGATATCGTGTGTTTGATACATTTACCTTATTTCAGTAACTGTTCGTAAACTAGAAAATAACTAGCTAACATTCCCGAAAGTGCAATATTATACAACGTTGTGTCGTTTCTGTTGAACCTAGAATAATATATACGGAATACCTCTGAATGTAATACGAATTGCTCAATAGTTACTATTAAAATAAAGGACCTGAGCTTCCCTAGTTAATACATAATGATGTTTCGATATGCCTTCGATGAGATCGTAGCCACAGCTTACTAGGCTGTTCTCTTTTTTTACTGGGTTTCGTCAGTGTAGAGCAGTGGCTTCAAAAATATGATCCGTAGATCTGGTTTACGCTTTAGGGGATAAATAGAAGTTAGATGAGAAACGTATGGGAAATAGGTTTCTTTTTCTTTTAGGTGGTTTATAGTCAAAAGTAACGTTGGTTGTAATGTACGTCGTGTGTAATAAATTGGGTGCCTGTATAAGAAATAATTAAGTCAGGGGAAAAGGATCACATCTGGCATATCGAAATTGTAAAGATAATTAAAAATTATTGTATTGTGTCACCGACTTACACATCACAGAACTTTGGAGGTATGCTTTTTTGTTCAGTTGACAAAATACGGGCACAAATGGCGTACACAGATAAATTAAATTTAAATTGTTGGTCAAATGCAAAAATGCAGGTTATGTGCAGTTATTGGTTCAACGGCACATTATAAATCAATTGTAAGAGAATTGTATTTATACAGCATTGGTATTGTATGCAAATGTTTCACAGCGTTTTTGCAGCCGACATGCAGTTAAAATTATGTACATCTGTAAACGTTACAATACGTAGGCAAATAGGTTTACCATAAATATTTCGTATTTTGTCATCTGATAAATTTATATCTTTTGGAGAATATTGAAAATTGTGGGACCGTAATGCGAATTCTTTTCAGATACAGAGTACATGACTTGGTCTGAATTTATTCTTACGTAACGAACTTCTTAACACGTTGCTTGATTAGAACATTAAATATACTCAGTGCAGTGTCTCTTGTTCTTTAATTACAGTTACAAATTGGTAACTTCTAATGGACTAGCAAGTATAACTGACTACGAGTCTAACATGTATTTTCTATACTACCAACTGTACGTTTCTGAAGCGCCCCATTAACTGGCGAAAATGGTAAAAAACATTCGGATATTACATCCTGATGGGACGAGTAGGACCCTGCAACCACCACACGCAAAATAGGCGCCTGGACGTCGAGTTGCGGAAACTAGCCCGTTGCACCAAGTTCCCATTTTTTATTTAATGACGGACTTGTTTGTTACACGAAACGCTCGCACTTGTTTTGCCAACTTGATTAAAATTTTTAACGATTGAAGTTCACCATCATACGGACGATATTTAAATCCTAAGAATCTCAATTTACAAAGTTTCTAACAAAATTTTGTAGCAAAACTACAAGTCGGCAAACTTTCAGACCCGTACAGATTTCAAATTCATTGGAAACATGCTCGCTACATCAAAAACAAACTCACAAACGTGTTGGTCAACATGTTAACCGACATGTTAGCAAATAATGGACATTTGAAAACAACATCCTTAATACTCAATTCAAAATCCAACATGTTAAGGAATTCGTATTAAGGTCCTTTCAAGTAAATAAAATTAATAGCGCAGGGCCAAACCCGTAGTTTAGTGATACGTAAAGACGCAGGCGCAGCTAATGCAGTGCGTTGTCAAGCAATAAGTGACGATTACTTCTGGTTTATAGCTTATTGTTGTGTGTCTTCTTACTAGTTAATAACAAGAATCTCATGACGTGTGTATGTGGCTAATTTTACTTTGAATTTACAATAGCGATCGCTGTTTGTTTCTTACAAAAGACACGATTAGTAAGGGAGGTCATTGTGAGCGCGTTGGCACACTAATTGCGCGTTTTGTTCGAGCATGCCGTTAATCGCAATCAATGAGTGCGTCTGGAACCCTAATCGACAAATCATGCTAGCGCTTTTTCAATTTCCGGTGATTTATCACCTCCAGTTTGAGTGATAAAAAGATGATGAAAATTTAAAAAGTCTTGTATAATTTTTATGTCATTGCACGATATAAGTACGTAGTCACAGAAGATGCACTCTAACTGCGTTGGAAAACAGTTTTGGATGCAATCTAGGTGCACTCCAGCTGCATTAGCAGTAGGCAGTTGTAATGCAATTGGGACTCAAGCGTGCTGACTGCATAACAACTTCAAACGGACAGCATTAGCAATTGTATAAATTCGAAAGTTGTCGACGTCTGTTTTAAATCCATCTCCAATTTGAAACTAACAGACACACAATAATAACCTTAGGAAAGTACCGGAGTCGTATTATGCCTTTAACTGTTATGTATTTCATGTATAGTGCTAGTGTAAGAATCTCCTTGCTAAATTTAATGATTTAGGAAATTTTTTAGGCAATCGGATTTAGAGTGACAGTGGCAGGATGAATTGGGATGTAGGCCTTTTTAGTCATAGACCAGGTGCCCGTAATATGGCAACAAATTATGACCTGCAAAGGATGAACTTTCAATATTAGATTTTTAGCTGAAATTAGTCCATAGTATAGTAAGACAAGCACGGTAATTCCATACCAATGGCGAGGCGTGAACATTGTCGTTAGTAGAGCCGAAACAAAACAAAAAACACCTACCT